TAATTTAACTTGAAGATGAATAATATTTGGTGATAAATAATGATAATAGATAGTGATTATTGATTAATAATTTAACTTGAAGATGAATAATATTTGGTGATAAATAATGATAATAGATAGTGATTATTGATTAATAATTTAACTTGAAGATGAATAATATTTGGTGATAAATAATGATAATAAATAGTGATTATTGATTAATAACTAACTTTAACACTTGATTGCTCGGTTGGATTCCAATAAAATTGCACAGCATTATGGGCAATTTCTTCAATTTGTCCAATCATACCACAACTATTTTTAGCATCAATTTCCAGAATTCGTTGTTTTACCGAATGTTGCCTAGAATGCCAAAATTGCCATGTTTTGATTTCTTCCTCATAGGTTTTATCTTCACGAAAAACGATCATTAATTGACTCTGAAATTAATTAACTTCATATTATCCATGCATTATATGCAAAATTTAGTAAAATATTAATTTTATTAAAATTAACCTTTTAATATTTGAATTTAATAATAATTATTAAAAGAAGCTAAATTTTTATTAATTAAAATATCCTAATATTTAAGTTTAAAAATTTTTTCTTTTCATTATTTCTATTATTCCTTATTTTAAATAAGATGTAAAATTGTTCATTTTAATAAGATAAATTGAATCATATGGAAATATTTATTTAAATTAAGCACTGATTGAATGAATGATAATGGGAGGGTTAGGTTATTTTGATAAATGTTAAAAGTGATAATTATTTGGGCAAAAAAAAAAAATATCTAATTATTTGTTCAATTATACCTGGCAATGTAAATAATAATACTGCGATATTTTGTTAATTAATTTATTAGCTTATTTTGCTAGTATTTTAAGAAAATTACAATGACTAAATGAAATGAAAGCAACAGAAACAATACAAATGAAATTAATAATTAAAAGCGAACATATGAATAATTAAACATTAATAATTAGATATTAATAATTAGGATGAAAATAGAAAATCAGACATTTTCATTTATTAAAAACAATTAATTACAAAAATAATATAAAAAATTAAATTAAACTTATTCTATAGTTATATTTTTCAAATTTTTAACAAAAAAATGAAAAAAAACATCTTGTTTTTAAGAAAACATTACTAATAAAGAAAGAATTGCTTTTTTAAAACTTTACTAATTTTAACAAATTATTGAATTTAATTTAAAAAATTTTAAAAGATTATAATATTTGATACATCCATATCAATATGTATGTAAGAAAACTTTGACAATACTATTGTCTGGATGACTGAACAGAGGTGTGTTATCAGAGAGATGGATCTGGTTTTTGTTGTAGTTTTTCGACATCACCTTATTGACCCACCCCGAACCATGACAACAAGTTAATCTAGCTTGTTTTATTGCACCATCATCAATACCGGTACTTAGTACCAGTAGTTCTAGTACTACTACTACTACTACTACTACTACTACTACTACTACTACTACTACTACTACTACTACT